CAACAGTAGCTTTAACAAAGAAACAAAAGAAAATTCTCCACGACAATATCCTGGTCAAGGAAGATTATTTGCACTCGACTTTATGACTGTAAATTGTTGTAAGATGTAAGGTTTAATGTACAGTAAAACATCAGAAAAGTATTTTACCAGGTTTTCCTGCTCTTTGATTAATAAATGTCACAAACTGATCTGCTGCTCTACCACACAAACGGAAGGGGGTTGTGCGACCTCAAAAAAAGCCCTTCACAAAAACTCAAACAGAGCTATTTGTGCCAAAAGTTTCATGACTCGCTATTTTGTGTGCTTTCAACACACATTCTGACCAACCAAAGGTGTTTAATGAGCCGAAACTAAAAGACCCATTGGGTTTCTTCAGTAATGGCACAAAGTGTTTCCGCCCTACAGGACAGCTGGTCGGCAGGATAAAGCGGATGGTTGAGGCAAGAATAGAGAGAGCTCCTCCTCTTCATCCATTCTTCTTGTTCAGTTTTACTTTTTGCCTTGTGTGGTGCAGTGTGACATGTTTTTTTGCCAAATCTTTCTGCATGGACTCACATTTATTAAATTGGCAAGTCTTTTTCATTCTTCCTTTGATCTGACTTGCTGTCTCTCGCTGGCTTTAAATCAATTTCACAGTTTTGGGTTTCAGAAAAGCTTCTTCAAATGAAAAAGCTCATTTGTAATTTATGAAGGATTTCTTTTTGGTCATGTTGTCCTGTTATTACCTTTGATAATTTACACAGTACACTTTTCTGAGTTAGAAGTTTCATGTAAGTGGCAGGAATTGTAGCTGTTCAAATAAAATGAGCTAAAATTAGTTTCAGATTTTTCAAGTAAAGTTAAGTAAAGACCTTATATCGACATGCAGAGAGTGAGTCATTTAATTATGCATTGTTGCCAATAAACAATGATCTATTATTGTTGTGCGCTTGTTAAGGAGCTAAACACAATGTGCCAGAAACCAGCGGTAGTCCTTTGTTTAACAAGCAAAGACCGGTGCTGTTGATACGGTACACTGGATGTTAGACTGGTGAGAAAGCTGTGCAGAAACAACTGGTGATATCTCCCTCAGGTCACAGTCTGGCCTTTTGTATTGATCAGCCAGCTGACAGTAGCTGACAGCACCACACAAGCTCACCAGCAATCTTTCCAGAAGAAAGGCAAATGACGGTGCAGCATACAGTATCCAGTGACATCAACCCTTAAAGCTGGCAGCTCTCCAGAGGCATTATGACTGAGTAAAGCCAGTGACCTCATGCAACAGAGGTGCCCCCTGTTCCTGGGGTGGTTTACATCAACACTTTTTTCTTTTCTCATTTAACAACGCTCAAATGCCAGATAGGTGTCTACTTTGTTTTTTAAACCTGGTCATGTGGTCATTTTGAATTTGATGAAAGATGCGGTAAATTCTTCTTGACCACCCTCATTATTGATAAGATATGTTTGGCAGCTCAACATCAGCCTCCGAATTTGATATGGTCACATTGACTTCGTGCTAAGGATAGGTAGGGTTTCTTGTGTAATACAGGATTTACTTCATATGTCCATAAAGCCCATGTCCATAAGACAGCTGCAGGACCTTTTATTGGCTCTGTGAAGCTTGTGCTCCACATGCAACCTGTGTTCAGAAAATAGCTAGGTTATTGCATTCCTAACTGTAATTCACTGTGGCCCATCATTGTGCTTGGACGTGGGGCTAGTACTTATGCTTGTCAAGCTGAATGAGCACAAAGGGACTAAAGATGGCTCTTAAAATACATTTTCCAGATCAGTTTGCAGTTTGTCATGTGAAGATATGTTATAAATTTTAGGGAGGGGAAAGATTTTAGCATTCAGGAGCGACTTAGGTTACAAACTGTAATTGATCTTTGAATGAAGGTAAGTACAAAATATATCCAACTTGAATGGGTGTGTGACTCATTAGTAAAAAAAAAACGTTCATACAGCAAAGCTTTGTTTTCTACTCCAAAAGGAACAGTGATATCATAGTTAACAATAGTGTGGTTCTCCATTATCCAACATGCGCACTCCTGTCCAAAAACTGATATGGATTACAACAAACTAGATCTTGGGACCTGCTGAGCAGTCACTCTGGAGATCTAACATGTTATCAATGTGATTAACCACAATAGCAATATGAGATCAAATTCTTTTATTTTTTCTATGGGTAGTGCTGTTGTTTCCCAAGGTAATGCAATAATAACACATCCCCGGCAGAATCCATTTAATCACCATATGTGTGACTTTTTAACACATTTAAAAAGCACCATAAACATTAAACACATGACCAAAAAGTTGTCTGTCTTTGTTATATTTGTTGTGTTAAGAAAAGTCACTTCATATTCGAGTTATAGATCTATGGGGCTGCACGTTACTGACATAAACAACTTGGAATCATATGTTTGATGCTAAATCGTGTTCATGTTGGATCTTTCCTTTTTTCCTGAAAAATGCCATGTCTATAATCATTCTTAGCATTTCTCAGAAAATCAGTACCGGCAAAGTCTTTATATGTCACCACAGCACATTGGATAGCTTTTGATTGCTCACAGGCACTGTGCATGTTTCCCAAGAGATTTTGGATCACTCTTCTTTTTTTGTTGATCTGCAGGTCTTTGAGGCTGGAAAGTATCCCGAAGATGACTCTGGTCTTTAGTTTCTTCCGCACACTGTGGGCTTAATTTAAGTTTTGATTTTTGATGGGCCGCTTCAAAATGTTGATGTTTATTTCCTGTTAATAATTTCTCCACTTTCTTGCTGGAAAGTCCAGTGGAAACTGAGGCCAAGTTTTATCTTCCACAAGTAGAGATCTGAAACTTACTGCCAAAGTGGTCAAGAAGTTATAAACATTCTAAGAATTTTAAAGAGGCTGTACGGGACTCCAGACCTAAATCCCACTGAAAGTCTTTAGGCATCTGAAATTGATTACTAAGAAAACTTTTTTTTTTAAAAGATTGTTGGCTGTGGCATTTATTAACCAACTAGTCAAAAAAGTATGATAAATGAGAATTTTGCATGGGCGTAAATAACATTGGCCTTATAAAGATTTTTAAAAAAAAAAAATCACAATTCTTTTTACAACACAAAACTTCACAACTCAAGTTGTTTCACCATGCGCAAAAAAAATAATTTATGCATGTGAGGAATCATTCATAGTGGAACTGATGTTCTCATTAATAAAACTTAGGCCAGTCAACTGTCCACATTGCTGTCCAAGTTGTCTGAGTTGCAGGTCAGGTGCTCGACTTCAACCAGTGGATTATTAATGCATGAAGAGTCAATTACTAACCCTGTTTAGCCCTTTTGATCATTCAGCTATGGGTCATAAGAAACAAATCTGATCAAGATTAAATCCTTTGTAAGACAGGTCCTCAAAAATAAAAATGATAAAAGTGGAAACAATGATAGAATACTTTCAATGTTTATTTATAACTGTTAGAAAATTAAACACAATGAATGCCTTTATAAGAAAAAATCTAAATTGTCTGAGAAAAGACTGAGTCGGATGAATTATTGTGTCACCCAAACTCTGATGTATATTTGCCATCTGCAGCCTTTCCTCCTTCATGGCAGACGGCATGAATCACTGTGTCACCTCCTGATTAGTCTGGCTCCTCTCGGCTTGCATTTCATCAGTATATGAAAGCAGTAATGCAGCAGGGCTTTGCTCTCCAGAGTCTGAGCATTTACTGTCTGTTTAGTTTCTTCTTTTTGGCTGAAAGTTCTCCAGAGGTCCATATATTTTTTTCACTCACATTTTTTGGCCTTGTTTATTCTATAATATGGCAGCTGTTCACCTGGCAAGAAGACTTAAGTAAAAGGTCACTGAGCTGCATCAGGATGCTGAATTCAGAGTTTTACAGTAGCTTCCCAATCATACAATGTTCAGGATCCATAGGACAAACATATAGGCATAATTATGAACTTATCATGAACATGTTTCTTCTATGTGAACAGGCTCTGCCATGACAACAATGAAAATCTGTTTGTCGGAGATGTGTGTGAGCTCGCCACCGCAAAGAGGAAAAAGGACTTCTTCAATAATAACACCAAGTCCCAGTGTGAGTTTCAGCAACACATCATTTTGTTTTGGCATACAGACGAGTTTGTGGTATGAAAATTAAAGGCCTTGTGCACAGGAGTGACTAGGACAAAGGAAAGTTCCATGGTGGGAGGAAATGTGGTGTTGAAATGTGTTTTTTAATAACTTGATTTGGGTACTGTTGCATTTCAAGATATCGCTCAGATATCTATGTCTCTGTTCAAACCATTATTATTTAGGCAATATTGCCAGATTTACAGGTAAAAATTTCTGAGGACTGCTTCTGATTTACACAGAAATTTTAAAAAAGTTAGTTGTTACTTTTCTGAAATCAGCATTAAAGTTCATTTCAGAGACAGTCAATGGACTTGATGTTTTCACCCCAGAATTTAATCTCTGGTGAGTCTTCTCATGATGACAGATGTAGTTTAATGTGTTTGTTACTGTGTTATTCCTTCTGACCTGAGATACGTTCTGTCTCAGCCAACTCTGTTATTGGTTGCTATTTCCTATTAAAAGCAAGGTTAGATCAATTAAAATAAGGACAACATTTCATTGATATTATTTTATTTTTGGACCATACCAATCATGAAGACCTTTAATACAAAGAAAATCTGCTCTGCTTACCATCAACAGTTCATGCTTAGACAGCATATTGAATTCTGTGTAGCTTCAGTAAAACAGCCTTTTATCAAGTTGTACATTTGATAGAAGACATTCAATGCTCAAAGTTTCATTCCAGTAAATATGGGCTTTACCCCTTTTTTCTTCAGTTGTTTTCAGGGATAAGTGGATCTACGTGCAGAAAGGAAGCACAAAAGAAGTGAGTACTGAAGCCCTTTTTCTAATTTGTCAGATCTTTCATCTGTGCCAAAGACAGCAAACCGTGTGTAATCCAGTAATTCTTCATTACACAGTGTAAAGCACAGTGTCTGTTGTCTTATGTAGCGACATGGATATTGCACGCTTGGTGAAGCTCTCAACCGTTTAGACTTTTCTAGTGCCATTCAGGACTTGAGAAGATTCAACTACGTTGCGAAGGTGAGCTATCTGATCTTGCATTTTATTTAGAGACGTAGTTGCCTTTGGCTCAGACTTATTGATCTTCTCTGTTCCACTAGCTTTTTCAGCTAATAGCCAGGTCTCAGCTGACATCTTTGAGTGGAGCTGCTCAAAAAAACTATTTCAATATTCTGGAGAAGATTGTACGTAAAGGTAAGGGAATCTGACACCCTGAGAGATGACTCATTCAATGGGCATATTGGACCTGTTGGCTCTTTCTCAGCATCCCTGATAGTGTCAGAACAAATCATGGTGTTCATATATGACAGAAGACATTTCATAAAACAATATATGTTGTTCCTATTGTCTGTTTGTTTTCTTTTTTTTCGGACTTAAGTCTTGGAGGACAATTACAATCCACGTCTTGTGAAGGAGCTTCTTCAGGACCTGAACTCCACACTGCACAGTCTGACCGTCCATGTTGGAAAGTGTGTCCTCGTGGGCAATGTGAACATCTGGTTGTGCCGCTTGGAGACAATTGTCAGGTGGCAGCAGGAGCTCAACAACCTTCAGATCCCAAAGGTAAAAAACAGATTGTTATTGGTTGTTGTATGTCAGTTTGTTACTAATCTCTCTCTTAAACGCCTAAAATCTGTTTACTTTGTCAGTTTTATGTTGCTGCTTGATTGTCTTTTGCTGCATTTATCTCTCATATTTTTGTTGGAAGCTATATTCTGGTTAACCACCATGTTTTGATACCTGTGTTGGTGTTTCCTGTCTGGTTCTGCATCTCAGTCCTGCCCCACTAAACATGCCCTATAAACTCTCCAGATCAGATACTGAGCCAAACAGTATCTTTTTTTTGTTTTTGGTATTCTCTGAAAGGGGGCTTAGTGGACTAGAGAAGGACCAGGAGTAGTTTCTACTAACTGTTGTGCTGCTGATATGATGACACAGTCCACTTTGCATTTAGCATCCAAGTAATGCTGTAATACTGAGCACTCGTTTTTTTACACAGAAACTTTCTAAGTGTATCCTCAGTGTAATTATATTTTAATATTTTTCTATTTTCATAACATTAAAATTTTTTAAATGTGTTTTCCTTTTTCCTCAGCAATTGTACACTGGTATGTCGTTCAGTGACCTGCCACTACACATGCAGAACTCGATCCTCTGTAAATTATCTGATGGCTGTGACGTCATAAACCTGGGACAGGCCACGCCCACATTGCACATCCTCAGTGAGAACAGGACACTGTGGAAGAAGCTCTGCCACTTCCACTTCTCAAATGAACCGGTGAGAAGTGGCAAATTTATTCACTAGAGCTGAACTTCAAATTTTCTTTTTTTTAAACACTTTGTAGATTAATCCATTTTTGGACTTAACAACTATGACTACTGTAAAAAAAAAAAAAAAAAAAAAAAAGAGGTGGAAACAGACAGATATATGAATATATGTCCACTAGAGGACAGTGTTGTAACAAGTTGCTTTATTATCCTCTAAAGCACACAGCCTTTCAAATAACATCAACATTTGTCATATTTCAGAATGGTTTATAATTATATCTGCACATTTTACCATTTTGAATTGCACAATACCACCTTTGTTTTAAATGGTTACTTAATGTTTCCACTTTTGTATTTGTGTTTCCTGTGTTTGTGTTTCATATATATATAGTTTTGTAGGAATTTGGTCCTGACCAAGAATGAGAACGTGGACTGGAAGCTGATGTATTTCACCTTGCAGAAACATTACCCCATGAAGGAGCAGTATGGTGACACATTGCACTTCTGCAAACATTGTAGCATCCTCTTCTGGAAGGTAAATGAGAAAAGCCGCCCTACAGCCAACACATTTACACTGTTCTGTCATGATCCCTGTTTCCAATAGAGCTGCTCAGCTGCATTTTTAATAATATCCCAACAGTTTCTAGCTTTGGATCAGGCAAATCACATTTGTAAGCTCATGCGAGTGCTGCCGCTAATGCTTATCCTTTGAGTTTACAAGTGCAATGGGTTTTTGAACTTATGTACTCACAAGTTTATAAATGACCTGTTTGTCCACGGTGACCTTTTAGATCTGCTCTTCAGCCCTGACTATTACAAAGATCCCATTTGTGTTAATACCTCCCTGGGATGATTTCTGTGAGAAATTAATCGTCCACACAGAGCAAACTAGTCCTGGAGTATCAGTTTCGTTCAGTTTGCACCCTTGTTTACTTTCCACAAACCTGTTCTCTCCCGTTGTCCTTGTATGGTTTAACTCTGCCTTCTCCGTATTCTTTGTCCTTGCTTGTCACCCTTCCTTCCTGCCTCTCCTCCTGGTTATCCCTCTCCCTGATTGCCTAAGGATCGCCATGTGGCTTTGTTTTTCAAGGTACTTCCTGTCTGATTGTGCTCTTCTGATTCTTCAATCGCCTTTCTGTCTGACTTTGACATATCTTCCTCCATGTCTTGATCTTTGTCTTGTGTCATTCAAAGTGGTATCATCACATTTTTTCAGTAAACAGCTACATTCTTTTCGCAGAATTCTTATCTTCAAACAACACCAATCTGTTTTTTTTTCATAATATCAATGTCAATAGAAAATCTGTCTTTTATTATCTAATATAAATATTTGGTCAAATGTTTCTGTCTGTGGGAGGCATGGTGGTGTGGTGGTTAGCACCATCGCCTCTCAGCAAGAGGGTTCTGGGTTCAAGTCCAGGGGAACCAGGACCTTTCTGTGTGGAGTTTGCATATTCTCCCTGTATATGCGTGGGTTCTCTCCGGGTTCTCCAGCTTCCTTCCACCATCCAAAAACCTGCATGTTAGGTTGATTGGACATTCCAAACTGCCCTTAGGAGTGAGTGTGCATGGTTGTTTGCCCTCGTATGTCCCTGCGATGGACTGGCGAATTGTCTCTCAGCCTCTCGCCCATTGACCACTGGGATAGGCTGCAGTTGCCCCTGCGACCCCATTAGGGAATAAGCGGTTACGATAATGGATGGATGGATGGATTCTGTCTGTATGTTCACTTCTATCATTAGTTCAAAGGCTATTAAAGTTATAGATTTGTTAAGCTAGCATACTTTGATTTTTTCATTTCAAAGTACAGATAGAGTTTAGTGTGAACATCTCAAGTTTCCAATTATATCAGAATCAGGTGTAAAAGTAGAGACACAGAGTAAAAACACGACCCAATGTTTTAACAGCTGTAACCAAGACTTCTATGAATCTTACATTCCAAGCACCCATCTCTCAAACCACATGCTTATTTTGTCATGTAATCGAAAACAGTCATTTCATTCTTTCAAAATACATTTCATTACTGGTAACGTTTCAAGACTGTTGTGTCTTTTTCAGAATTTACTTATGGTCTTGTATTCTTTAACCTACCATAATTTTTGCATTCTTCTATCTCTCTTTTAGCCGCACTTAGATAGTTCTAGTCCTTCTAATATTTAATAAGTCTAAGGCAGGCATAGTTAAATAATAACTAATGAATAATAAGAGTTAACTAATGTAGAATTGTGAAAGTGGTTTCTTTAGTCCATAAATGTATAGTATATAAAAGTTAACAGAGTCCAAATTTGCTTTAAACATGCCTTTTCTTTGTTTGTTTTCTGAAGGGGGGCCCTTTAGACTTACCTTTTGGCCATTTCTTATACAAGGATATGGCCATGACAAAAGTCATTTCCATCCAGCCGTTTAAAACTCTGTGGAGTAGCACTGTTAGAAAGTGCTTGAACTGGGATTGCTCTGATTTTTAAAAAAATATCTTTCTAATAAATTACCTGTTTACTTTTCCAAAGGACTTTGGTCATCCATGCACATCCAATGATCCGGACAGCTGCCTGATGCCCATCTCTCCGCAGCACTTTATCGACCTCTTCAGGTTCTGAACCCTCCATGTTGGTCTTCAAGCCAAGCGTCTGTTTACCTTCACTCCCACTCCAAGAGTGTGTACAAAACCTTGATGTCGTTTACCTAAATACAAAGGGCTTGAACTGAATGAAATGAGATTCTTTTTTTATGTCTGTACTTTTCAACGCACAAGTGTTTCCATAAAAATGTAGTAAAAAGTAATGTTTATTAATCTTAAGATTATTGGTAAGTATAAAAAAGAGCCTATATACAAATGTTAATCTTTATAACAGATAAAGGCTTCTCTCAACTGAGGGAATAACATTTTTCAAATGGTACAGTATATAAATACAGTATTTTGAAAGGATTTACATGTTAAATATGTTTTTGCATGTTCAGGGCGAGGGTTAGTTGGTGTATGAGTTTTTAAGGAAATGGAAAGCGGGAAATATTTACAGTGGAGCTGGAAAAGATTACTGTTGTTTATTTATTTGCTGGAGTCAAACTGCTTTGTGATCTGTTTGGTTTTGGTGGTGTGTTTTTGCAGTAACTGCATGTCTAAGTCCATTTTTAAACCATATGATGTCCTCTGTGAGTTCCTACCGTGCACTGTGTTTATCAGACGTTTCCACTCTCAAACAAAAATAATGTTACGCTCCATTAGTTGAACATGGTTTTATACTTTGACCATTTTACAAACAGGAAGTGTAAAAGAGTATTGAAAAAAATAAGTTTTGTATCTTTCTCCCAATTTTTGTAAAATTCCTTAACTCTTCCAACATTCTTGATGGTACTATCATGACCTTGATGGGGTGGAAACTAGCTATTAAATAATTAAATATTTTTAAAAAAATATATACAATTGTTTCTTTTGATTGAAATGTGCATTACAATGGTGTTTCTTTTTCTATTAGATTTGCACATTTTTTATTTAACATGTTTACACCAAAACAGACCATGAACATTATTGCTTAACAACAACATGGAAAGTTAAACAATCAGTTGTAAGAAGAGGATCACTAGTTTAAAAAGGGGCATTTAGGATTCTCTGCAGATGGTGGAGGACCCAAAGGGGCTACTTCTGTTCTGGCAGAACAGTAAGTTTCACATTTACCTTTTCAGTACAAAAAGTTTTAAAAAGCAGAGCAAGGCTGTCATACTAAATCTTTATTCTTCTTAAGTGACCCAGCACTTCGAAGGAGTGCACGCTTCAGGCTGACTTCATCATCAAATTAATTCAGTAAACTGATTGAAAAGGATAGAAAAGACGATCAAATGAGTGTCTTAATTCACCTAAAAGTACATTACTTCAATGTAATCCAATATACAGATATGCAGACACAGCATAAAGAATACATTATCTAAAAGCATCTCAGTCAACTGCAGGTGAAAAAAAAAATTGTGCACTAGCTTGTGAGCCACGTGCATGCTGGATGTCTGCGCCTGCAGCAGTGCTGTGATGAGCCCAGCAGATCTGTGTTCAGGATGATTTGGTCGAGTTCAAATTCACAACAAACATACAGCGTCAGATTACTGAGTCAAGGCACATCACATGGTCATGGATCACCTACTTTTCAATGACATAGGTTTTGTCCTCATTAGGCTGTTAAACTATATAGTAAAATTGTTTTTTTTTATTTGCATCAACACCTACTCAATGTCATCTGGGATGGAGAGTGGAGATGGAGATCTGCGTGAATACAACTTGTACATATTCACGTTCTAAAAAATGTTTAACAGGCCTTTTAACCTGAGGATTGAAATGTTCTGCAGAAAGAATTAAGTACACAATCTTCAGGAAAGTAACCATGTTCAGCTAGTTTTTAAGAACCAAGCTGAATCAATACAAAATTGAATGTAAATCTTCTTCCAAACTTGACAAACATGCACACCTCTATTCTAGATCGCAGATGTATCTCAGTAGCTTTTATAGAATTGTGGAGTCCATTTCTGATATTTAAAATAAGGTTTCGGTCAGTTTCACAGACATGTGCTTGATCTATATAGATTAAAAGATAGCGAAAACAGCCATCAGCAGCAGGTATTGTTTGTTCGTCATATATTCTCGTCAACAAAAAGACAAACAATTACATTTTCATTACTTAGCAGTATTGCATATTCAAATGACAGGACATTGGAAAACACAGTTAAAATAGTACAGTAGCTTAAGGCTTTGATTTGATCAGATGCATAGTTCATATCAAAGATGAAAGTCTGGGGATAAGAAGGAAATGAAAACTTTACACAATTTCTGGCACAGATTTTCTTTTCAGTAAAAAGCAAACTTATGGAGCATCACGATGTCAGTTATGTAACCAAAGACTGCAACAAACAGAAGGAATAATTCATTTTGATGCATTTAACTGACTTTTGGGGAAAATGTAAGGGCTTTATATCTCATGCGAGACACTGAAAGCCCTGGGTGTTTTCAGGCCAGTGTTCAGTGGCCATTGTATTGCACGTTAAGGCACTTCTGCGTCTGACAGTGGGTGACGACCTCTGCTTCTGTCTATAGTAAAATTGCATTCAAATGGATTATAACTTGGAAGTAGTCTACAGAAACCAGCAGACATTTGGTTCAAGCTGCTGTCCTCTTTCATAGTGACGGAGTCAGGGTAGGAGGTGTGCCACATGCTATTATTTAAAGCCCCCCCATGTGCTCTCAGACACAATCCCCCTGCTCATCCTGCTGATGCCAGCCAGCTTGACTTTGGCACGGGCCGTCCACCTCACACCGGCCGATGAATCATTGGAGTCCTTCAAGTTAGCATAACGGGAGGAGTCTTCCTCCAGACCCTGCCCTCCCCATGTTGGCATTTCCAGCGGAACACTTATGGAGTCAGGGAGGGTCACTGCCACGTTCTCACTCTGCCTATGTTCCACAGGGAGTTCATCAGTCCCAGTCTCAGTTATGTTCTCTAACTGTGGTGGCTCCCAACCTTCCATCTTCTCTAGTTTTTTGGTGGGCGAGATTTGCCTCATAGTCATTGTAACACTCTCCCAGAAACACAGGCCCTTTTCGGGCTTCTCTTTCTTCTCCTTCTCCTCGTCCTTGATTTTCTTGTGAGGCCTTCAAAAAAAGACAAAGAACAGGCAAGAGGTGAAAACTGGGCGTTCATGTAAAGCAGGTGATTTACAGCTTAGTGGATCATTCATACTGTAGCTATAAATGGGTCTGACTGACTGGGGAATTGGTGTTTATCAGAGCTCTCAGTACAGGAGACCGGTGCTTCCCCCACACAGTGAACCATTATGTAGGAATTCCCTTTTGTTTGTCAGAGCAATGTGATTAATAAAGGTTTTCCTCTCCAAGCATGTTCCACTTCCTCAGCAGGTCTGAACGATAACAACTTCTGGAAAATTAAGGCTTACGTATAAACACATTCTTGTGTTTGGACGTGCCTCAATTATGTCTTGTGAAGAGTGTAGTGTTTTGCCTCACACACTTGACTGGTAATGGTCCAAAGTGGACTGCTGCTGACCTAATGTAAACCAGCCATGGTGGAGTTAGGAGAAGCAAAGTGTACATTCTGCATGTGATATTATTTTTCATTACACTATTGAATAGACAGGGCTCTTATATCATACTCTTTATATGTACTGTAAGTATCTTTTAACAAAAAGTTCATTTATACTTATAGCACTTACAGAACATTGTCATTATCACTGTCATCTTGGAGTAAACATGATGGGACCTCTCTTAGCAGATTGGCAGTTGAGTGTCATTGAGAGTTTCAAGCAGATTACCACATTTAATCAGCCCTGTTATGGAAGTTAGTTTTGATTGCTTGCGGATCACTTTATAAGTCCCTTGATACACATGTATCACTGTTTGTGCCTTTTGGTAATCGTTTCTCTTTATGCATTTGTCAAATTTTGGAAGAGGAAACACAAAACGTTGCTACTTTACTTGTAGGCTCTGCACTGAGCTATCTCAGCTACCATACTTCTTTCTTGATTAAGGGACTGAATGTGTCCTCTTACCCTTTGCGGTCAGCCAGCTTCACTCCGGTCAGCAAAAAGTGCTCATCATCTTTGGAGGAGAACATCTTCTTCTCCCTCCTCTCCTTCTTGGACATGATTTTCTTCACCTTCGCTTCCTAGCAACAAAAAAAAGGTAGCAGACAGGACAAGTTTTTATTCTGAAGAGCAGAAGGATTGCCTTAATCTGTTTCTTGTACCTTATATTTATGTTTTTATCCAAAACAATTTGCAAGGATCAGGTTACGGATACATTAAGACTGCTTGTGATTCAGTGTTTTGCCAAATGAAACCAAATCGAACCACCTATCTAACCTGATATCTATGGTGTTTATTTATGAGGGATTTTTACTCAATGAAGAGGGGGATTTCTAACCTTTACAAGAATGTAGAGAAGCAGCCATGAGTTTCAGCTCAGGATCATTGCTCTGCATTAGCTCTGCAGGAGACCCACACCACTCCCTATGACACCGCCAGCCGACCCCATCACATCAGAGTTCCTTCCTGCCCTCACAGCGCTCTACACTTCACTGATACAACCCTCTCCTGCGATAATGAAGTCAGGTTTTGGCTATGTTTCTTGCCTGGGAAGAATTCCCAGTCTCAGCTGTCAAGGTCATAAACGCCTCACTTCCGTGTCTGCCATTGCTTTACACAAGGTATACACATCATCATCTGATTAATGCGTTGAATCCTGAGAAAGGGCCTGTTTTGCTTCAATATTTTACCTTTGGAGGAGGAGGTCAAGTCAACGCTCTGAATGCAGAGCACAATGTAGATCTGTATACTCTGTTCAGGACCGGAAGATGCCACAGCAACCACAACAAACAAACAAATCTGTTGGATATGAAAGCACGCTGCTCAAAAACCAAACAGGAACACTTTCAATAAGATTTGTCACCAGATCAGGCTTTGGAATGCCAGAGTTTGAACAAACAAAACTATCTGACTGACCCGTTAACAAGTTACGCAACTTCCAGATTAATCTAGAATATGTAGAGGCACGTGGTCCAACTCATGTGCATGTCACACTGGATACATATACAAGTCTAACACTGGTATCTTACGAGGAGACAGGCACTTTACTGATAAATGGGAAACCAAATATACTCCTTCCACAAATCATCATTATGACCGTGCCTGTGGGCACAGCTGCTGCCAGGTCAAAATTTATGATTATGAAGCAAATATTTATCAAACATAACCTCAGCTATTTCAGCACCTTGTCTCTGCTCTGGCTCGGTCTCTTTGCTTCTTGAGTAAATGTGGAGCAGATCATTTTGACCTTTATTGAAAAGAAACCAGAGATACCAAAACAGGTGGGAGTCCCTCTACTCATTTGTGTGCGTGTGTGTGCGTGTTCGTCTGTGCATGTAGACATTTTCTAGCTGTACACGTGTGCACGTGCACAGAGGCCAGCCTATTCCCTGATCCCTCGAGGTCCACAGCAGATCAATAACCAGCAATGTCTGCGGACAAAAAGGTGAAGCAAGCAGCTCACTGGCTCACTGTGAGAGGGAGCTTTACCCACAGCTCCATGCCGGGCGGAACAATACAGCTTTTATCAAGCTGAGTTCTCCAATCCTTACTGCTGACATTCAGACCTAAGTAACATAATAAAGAAACATTTTTCTCTATTAACATTTTCTTAATATCTTTATTTATTCTTTTTTTTTATTTAATTATCTCTTTAAAATATTACACAACAGTACATGATTAAATTATAATCATCTAGGTTCTTGATATAATTTGCATTACAAATGACAAAATCTTAATCAAACAAGTATCAAACTGGTCCTATATTTGACAATTTGGGAAATATACTTAATTTACTGATACTCCGACACAGCACGCAAAACAAGAGAACCCCCCCCTGTTTATTGTTTAATTTCAAAAGGAATCAAGCAGTGCCACCGCTGATGTGTACAGAAGTTTTGAAGTATTTTCCGTTAAACTGTATATTCATCATTGTCTTCCAGACACTTAAGAATGAAAATCCTTTCAGCTTTGTACATCTACAGCTTCTTCCAGGACTCTATGAGCAATTTTCTGTCCTAATATGAGCATAATATAACAGAGGGTAGCCATCCATAATGTTCAAGAAGTCTGTGGCTATTTTCAGCCCTGTTTTTCCTCCACAGTGATTGTTCCAGTCCAAAAGGCATAGCTCCTCGAAAGAATGCTGCATTTCCTTCCCATTCTCCGAGCCGGCCAGCTCTCTCCTTACAAACAGGACACATCATGAAAGATGCCCTGCGAACAAGTTTGCATACAGTAGCTATGCATGAAGCCAGAGTTCAGGGACAATAAATGGTCTGTGAAAGGTTTGAACTCAAGCTTTGCCACTGCAGAAGAGCTTAGTCACAACCACCTCTGAGTAAAGACATGCTGTCAGCACAGATTATGAGATGATACACATCTCTCATGAACAGAGTGATGAGAGAAAATAAGCTGCACGTGCAAAAGACATGTGCAAACATGTCTAAACCAACTTCTTAAAACCCTTATTCACAAGTAACCTCGCCTGACCCTAAAGATCCAGATGAGCATGTATGAAATGGCTCAAAGACTTCCAAACCTACCATTCAGTAGCCTGGATAATACGCCTATTGAGTTTTTGTGCATTTATGAAGTTGTATCACTTTTCATCGATAAATGTATTAATACATTTTGTAAGAACCTAAAGGTAGTCTTAATACATCATTTTAAAAAATCAAGGAAAAACTTATACATTACAAATAAAACTAAACATTTCTTGGTGTTTATCTTTATATTTAAAATGTTTGGGTTACATATTTAATCAAATGTTTTGCAATTTGGTTCTGATGGTCCAAAATATTTATTTACAAAATTGTTATTACACAATAAGAAATATGATTGGTTGAAAACGTTTAAAACCATTTTACTTTAGATTTCAAACAGGAGTGTCTGATAGTGTCTACTATGAGGCCAAGAGGTCGAAAGAAAAAATAAGTATCATTGTAAAGAGAGCCAAAAATACAATGTCCTCATATGAGGGCACACGGTCTCAGGAGGTTAAATCACACAAAAGGAAATTAGTGACCAAGATCAAAGAGTATGAAAAATGATAGCATATCATTGACTACAGTTCACAAAATGACCGATTTGATCTAATTTCCCAGATCTGACATTTCTGTCCTGGGATAACGATACAAGTACACTTACGCACAAAAACAGGAAGGTTTTCCAGCAATAGAGTTCAAGATAAGAAATAGCCTCTGTGTTTACAGATAAACACAGTTCCAGCAGCGGTCTGGTTCTCCAGCTTATCATAGCAGGACTTTGTGTTCAAAGTTGAGTGGATGTGGACATGGATCAGCAGCTCTTATGTCATTCAAAGCATATTGACATGGTTTCAGACAGATGATTGATTTTTCTATTTTAGAGGGGCCTGAAACATTTACATCGCATTCTGTGGGCATGTGTGTGTCTTTAACATGATAAGAGAGCAAGTGATTAGTGCATATCTTTAAGGAGCTCCTGCCAGAGGTAAGACTGTTCAAACTGAGTGAAGCAGATAGTGTGTTTGCGTCTGCGTTGCATCCAAACTGTTGTGAAGGGGGTGTTTACCTTGGACACTGCAGTGACAGCTTCCTCGTCCTCTTCCTCTCCTTCTATGTCTTTGTCCTGAGACACACACACAAACGGATAATTAACACAAACAGCAAACCCTAAACAAAAAGGTGAAAACCGGTCACACTTTACAGCTGGGTTGATGTTTGTGTGTGTGTGCGTGTACATTGAGTGTGTGCATTTCTTCCTGTCAAAGAGGAGGCAGCCGTTTCAGAGCTGTAACATAAACACTTTGTGTTTGAAGGGCAAGATGGAAGGATGGATGGATGGAGGCGCGGGGCCGTTGTGGGGAAGTCACTGAGCCCTGGGAGCAGTTTTTAACAAAAGAGAAAGAAAATAAACCATGACCTAATTTCTTTATGTTGCACCTTGCTTTGTGGATTTAACACAACTATTTTGGTTCCATTGTGTTTCACTCTCCAAGCGTTTTTTCTAAAGTTTCCTCATATCTTTTTAATTAATTCTATGCAATTTGCATGTGTTATACCAATAAATATGCAAATCTCAATTTGAAAAAGAGCCCACTTTCAGCTTTGAAATCAATTCCTTAAAGTCAATTCTATCCTCTGTGTTGAATAGTATCACATAGATCAAATAATCTTGGAAGATATCTGTAGGACTTGATTCAGACATCTAAAACTTTGATGAAGCAGAAATTAAAAGTGGCTGAAAACACAGAAGATAAGTAGATTTTGAATAAGCTTGATCACGTTGTTTTAAGCCTTATTATAACTACACAGTAACTTAAGAAAGATTTAATTAAATAAATAACTTTGACACCACTGATTAAACAGGTCTTAAAGATGAATGGCTGAGTGTTGGCTTCATGCCTTAATAAACCAGTGCCTGAGCTTTCCTCGAGTCATACAAAGTTGTATTTTGAACATTTCAAATGAGGATCTGTAAACATTAAGAGTCATCATTCCTGTAAAATGATCAAAGTTCTAAGCGCATCTTAATATCCAACAACTCCATGAGAAATAAGAGTAGAAGTGGTGATTGGACAAGTTTGAGCAAAGTCTGCTGGGCCTCTGCCACCTAAGCTGATCAAAGAAATACCCACATCCACTCTAACACACACTGACTGCTGCTGCTGCTGTCGGACCATAAAAGCATTAACAACTTTAGGACCGGGGGCGGGGAGGGTAAACCAGATTTGGGAGGCACTGAAGTGTTTGAAAAGGAGAAAAGTCTTTCTTAAATATCTTTTTTTTTTCAACATTCTTTCTCTCTATATATCTTTTTTTTCCCTCGCTGTGTGAGAGGGTCATTTCTTACACAGTGTTTCGAAACACTGGGGTAAAGACGCAGAGTGAACTTCCACAACAACAATCAGTATTTCCTCAAAGATCTAAGATAAAATATCACATTCCATGCCTAAAAACAGAAATGTTTCACAATAAAATAACACCACGGTGTTGCCTAGTTCAATATTTTCTAAGTACACTTGCTAAAATTCTTGCTAAGGGTTGCAACATCCATATCGCCTTCATTGTTGGTAACTTTTCTCAAAGCATTTGGAATAAAATGGTGAATATTAACCAATATCTAACCAATATGTTTTACTGCCTAAATTTAACCAAGTTAACTTAAAACAAGTCTCTCTAAACAATTAAAAGCAACACAAATAACTGTTTTATAACTGAACCATGGTCTCATGAAACGTCCATTCATGGACTGTTGTATTTTTGACTGAAATCAACAAATCAATTACAAAAGTTTAAAAATGATGAGCTAGAGTTAACCTGCAGCGACAGAGGGCTCTAAGGGATAGAGGTTTAACCTTATGCTTAAAGATTAATTATCTTTTTTTTAGGTGCCATCTCTACCTTTATAATAGTTTTGTAACCCCGCAAAACTACAAAGGGTGTGTTGGAACAGCAGCAGTGTTCAGACAAGCTGGAGCATGTGAGAGTAAAAGACAAGATGTGTCTCAGAACACAGGAGCAAATGTTAGAAACACAATCTTATCTACTCCACAGTGGTTACTTTTTTAAGCTCAGATAAGTGTTAGCATCCCAGACCCTGTCAAATACTCCCAAATAGCTTTTTTGGATTTTTCAATCCAAAAAACTATTGATAGCCACTGTACAGCTTACGGTTAGTTTGTCAATGTAGTTTGTAACCAATGTGGTCGAGGAATCAATCCTTAACTGTGCAAACATGTTTTTCAAATTCCGAGTCCATTTAATTAGCTTGTGAGCACATTTTCTTGAGATTTTTCATATATCACTCCATGATGATCAGAGCGAGTTGTCAGCAATTGATATGCTAAATTCCCTCAAAAATTTGTATTTAGTTTTAGCTGCTGCTCATGTTTTATAATTGGCTTTGCTATGACCTTCACAGAAAACATAAATACAGCCTAACCCTAACCTATAAATTAGCTATACACAGACCTGTACACAGTGTGTTCTGGATATGTGGACAGTTCTGAGTAGCAATAGTTCCTTCTCTGGAATGAGATGTTGCCGACAGGCACACATGTAAACACAGAGGCAGTGATATAATGGTGAGATAGTGATAACTTATTTTGCTGCCAAGGTCACAAGACAAATCGTTCTCCAGCATGTCTACACTTATTTACAGTCTAAACACTAAAGCCCGACACGCCATGTGGTAAAAAGATAAGAAAGATCTACCCAGCATCACTAGAACTGAGACAAACTGAGACCCTGTATCTCATTTTCATATATAAGCAAATGAGACAAACGAGGCATACCAGAAAGTTTTCTTTTTTTATTTGTATTTTTTGTATTTTGATTGGAGTTTTGATTTGCATTAAAAGTGTTTACGTAGGAACTCTACTTGTATTTTAGAGTCTATTTCTATTTAAACAATTTAAAAACACTGATGCTCATTCTGTATTTGGGTGTTTATACTACTGTTTGCCTTTTGATTTTGATTTTTGATTTTAAATTTTAGCAAAGCTTAAGCAGAATGGACTGCCAAATCCGAATACTGGAGCTGAACAGCGAAAGGTTTTTGAATAGAGACAGGATTCATGTGAACCTGTGAGATGAAACAATTCATTTCCATGAAAATAACCCTCTTCTTTAGGCACTTTGTGGCTTGATCATTTAGATGAAGGGCTGTTTGCTCAACCCTGACGTAAACTCGTTTGAACCACCACTTCACAAAGGTGTAAGCATTAGAGCGGTTTTCATTAAGTGTTCAGGTGTATTACAGCTCTGAGCCAAAGGCAAACGTGCACCTTCTTCAAGCTAACAGCTGCTCACAGCCTGCTCAACTTCAATAGAGCGTGTGGTGAAAAAACATGCAGACACACGGCCTGTTCCTGCCCCAGAGCAGTGCAGAGGGAGGCAGAGAGGTTATGCTGTTCGGTCGGTGGGCTCACTCCCTCTCCATCTTTTCTCCTCTCTCTTACCTCTATGTCCTTAGATGCATTATCCCTCCGTGATTTGTCCATGCTCACTTATTTTCAGAGTTTATAGTGAAACTGATATTTGAGGATCAATGCGGCTATTTCACAACGTGCCGTGAGTTCCGGTTCGAGCGTGCCCTCAGCACCGGCTGATTATCATTGGTGGAAATCCTGGTCAATCAACCATATCTAACTTCCAAAAATGTTCTGACCTCCAGTTTCCACCTGCTGCTCTGACCACAGGCTGGATTGTCAAAACGTCTGCATGAAGTCAGTCAGGCAGATTCATTTGAATAAGTGGAAAGAACTTACCAGTGAACCAGTGAACCTGGCTCCATCATGTATTGCCACTGCTGTGTTTATGACATTTTACAATCCAACCCCCCGACCCCCTGATGTACTTTACTGCCGTGGCAACTTGAAGAGAACTCACCAGTGACTTTCCCAGGAAACCTCCAGGGAACTTTCTGCTCTCTCTGAACTCAGATCGGCTCTCGTCAGCTAACCGATTCCAGTCACACTTGGACACAGACTCTACACTGAGCTCGATGCAGATTTGCTGGAAGTTAGGGAGGACCAATCAAAGTAGGCCAAGGCTGATAGATCTTCACATCCTCACAAGAGATATGCTGGGAGAAAATGATGTGCTGATCTGATTGCCCACAAATGACACATACTTGTAAAAGCACAGGAAACTGCAGGCAACAGATAATCTGATGTTAGTGGTCTGAATTTACAGCGTTAAAGGTGAGTGTTCCTAAGATTGGTGCTGTAATAAATTAGATATTTACATCAAAGAAATTCTGAAAGCATGGATGCCATTCACTCCTCACTATCAAACTGTAAAACTCTCCAGAGTCTCTCAGTAAACCTTGATTCTTTGCACAGCTTGACAAAGGTTCAGTCACATGACGGTTGATAAGATAGAACAAGCAGGAGGACTGCACATTATTTAGTCTAAACCAGGCTACAAGCGCTCATGAGCCGTAGGTTCTGATGAGGCTATCTATCCATAGATAATACACCAAGAACTGGTCTCTCACTTAACTCAAATTACAGGTTATGACAAGAAGTGAGTGAAGCTCAATGTTTCAATGGTGCTTGTTGGCAGGTCACTGTCACTTTGTCCGATTAATTCAAGTTTTTTTTAAAACTTCTCACATGATAAACATGTCACCTTTTTTTCAAGATGGTGCTGCCAGTTGCCTGTCTGTGTGTGTGTGTGTGTGTGTATGTGTGGGACAGGTTATTTGAGTCCTTCTCCATTAGCCTTAACACTATGACAGGGCATTGCATTGTTACAAAGAAGTGCTGATACAGAGACTCCTCAGACCTCACACACACTGCCGCTGCTCACCTGGGAGCATGACTAAATAAACAACAAAGAGGCATTTGTGAAATTGTCCCTATATCTGTGCTGACGGCGTCATCTGTCCTTTAAAATATACCCAGAAATGCACATCTGACTCGAAAGGGGAGGGATATTTGTAATTGTTCCTGAAGAGACATCGTCTCTCCTCTTCCACCTCTCAGCATTTTCAGATCTTCTCCCTCAGCCCACATTGCAAAACTTTGAGCCCTTGTTTACCTTTGGTTGCTTCCTGTTTGCGAGGGTACTTGTTTGTTTTTTAGAGGAAAGCAGAAAATATGTTAAGGATTTATAAAAGTCTGAACTTTTACTATTTATTTTAACAGCAGGGAAACATCAGAATAAAAAAAGTCATTGGAGCTTATTTTAGAGGTTTGAAAGCATCGCTCGTAAACGCACCACTGCGTTTAAGAATCAAACTATTTGCGTTTAATTCCGCTGCTTTCCTCCCTGTCATGTCATTACCTTGTAGGAGTGATGGTAGTGCCAGGACATGTCGTCCTCCTCTGACGCATAATCCACCAGCACCTTGCTCTTGGTTTTCTTGAACATATCCCCACTTGTTACTGACACGACCCGTAGCTTACTTTTGAGGAGAAAAAAACAAAACAACTAAAACCTCCACAAAATTAAGTTTGAGGTGCCGTTTGCTCCGCTTTGGGAAAAAGAAACGCACCACTAAAGCGGCTCCTGATCCTTCAGCTAAGAATCCAGATGCCGATCTTCTTTTGTTTCACCAGGAAAAAAAAAACAGCTCATTCGCGGAGGTACGGGCAGCGGCTGTTATTTCAGAAGTATTTGACCGGCAATGAGTGCGTTTTTACGCTGGCTGGACCACCTGGACCTCAAACAGTCGCTCCTCCCCTATCCCCCTGCAGGAGGAAAGGGGGTTCCTACGTCTCATCCTTGGCCAATACAAACATGGGGCCACGCAGGCATGCAAAATAATGTCACTTTTTCTCATTTGAGTGCAGCCTGGAACAACACAATTGCGGGTTTTTTAAGGGTTGCAGTGGCTTACACAGAATGTACAATGCCAGGAATCCAGTGATTATAAATGTCTTAGATTTTAGGTTGTATTTCAATTACGCGATTAAGTTCTTAAATTAAACATTCCAATTATTTATTTATACAACAGCAAACTCAAACCAGCATATGAGCCAACCAACAGATCAGCATAAGATGTCCTGCTGGTCAAAATAAGTTAAAGCTCCTTTTTATAAGGTTGTCAGGACATTTATTCAACAGCACAGAAAACTTTTAAGCATTCACCTGAAAATAAACATGTAATGATTATATCTTTAAAACATTTGTGTAAAAGGTTATGATAACAAAACAGCATAAGACTTTATAAATCTTTATAGAATTCAGCTTTAGAGTAAAGCATAATGTAAGGCCTTTCTTTAAATGGAAAAACATATATGATCTTGCTTTAAAAGGCTCAGATCTCATATTTATTATGGATGGAGATTTTGTTCGAAATATACGCCTGCGTATTTTTTGTTTGTTCATCTAGAAGTAAAAGCTCTTTTTTACTCTGAAAGAATTCTGACGCCAGTGGAAACAAGCACCACATTATTCTTAGAGGCTGACCTCGGGAAATAGCCACAGTTCAGCTGCAGCTAAGACCACTCACCTGATTCAAAGATCCGTAAAGTCCTGCCTCAGTGTTTACGTTATATGTCGCGTTGGTTTAGAATGTACAGTGGGTTGTTAGACATGTAAAAAATTCCAGGATAAAACAATCATCAAAAATAAAGTCCTGTTTAGAGAACTGAAACTGTTATTTTTTCTCTGCCGAGTGGAAGTTGTTTTTTTTTTATTTAACTAATGGGAAACCTGGTTTATATTGAAAAAAAGGTTTCTTAAAGTTTTTTTCTATAAAGTCTGGTGCAGCTCTTTATGACTGCCAGCTGACACAAGTCATGTCTGGTCATTAGGATGTTTTCATTGGCAGGTCAGTGACCTCTGACACTGAAAGCCATAATTTGGTCAAATGGTCGTTTGAGACTCCAATTCCCACAGTATCTCCAAAGGGTTTATTTTAGACTCAGGAAGGCTCTCATGTCCAACTTTCACTTGCCTAATCAACGTTTTTATGGTCATTTCCCAACCATAGCACCTGCCCTCAAATGTAAAATCCTCATTTTAAAATCACTAGGTGTAGAAGGAAATGTTGATATGTAGCCTGTCATATTCTATTAGGATTATACATTTTCAATCTATGTTTATATAATAGATATATGTTAGCACTTTTGTTATACATTTATGTTTTAAATGTATATCATGAGAGCTGCACAAATTTATCAATGACATAATAGTAAGGAGATACCTTTGGAAACACAATCTATGGAGTTCTGATGATAATTAATTTTCTTTATTATTAAGACAGTCTTATATTTACACAAACTTTTGGTTAATTGAAGCAGTCCCTTCACACCTTTGTTCAATTGATAATTTATTTCTCCTCTATCTGTCAGTCTATGCTTGGGCCTGTGTATCTAGTTTTAGTGTGATTCAATGGCTCTGGCTTCTTCTCCTAATGTTCCCTGTTTTGTTTTTATTTTTTCACTTTGTCATTTTGAAAATATTCATTACTTTCCCTTTGACTCGAGGACTGTTTTTATTTGACTTTTTGCCGGAATCCTCCTGGTCTGTTTGCTTCTCCTCTGATTCTTGATGTCTGCCAGTTTAATAAACTTTGGATTTTGTACTCTAACCTGTCTGGTGCCCTGTGTCTGGGAACTTCTCACAGAAAAACTGGACTACTTTATAGTACAGTATTTCTTCCTCCCACACATTAATTGTTGTACACAACTGAGTAAAGGGAGGTAAAGTTGTTGTAAAGTCCATTCTTTGAATTAAGGGTGTTCAGAGGTTGCATTACAGTTAGTAACAAAAAGTAACCCCTCAGTGAAAAATCTTCCTGTCACATCCAAAATAACATGTTTCCTTAATCACAAACACAAGTCGGTGGTTGCTCAACATCTCATTTCAGGCCTTTCCAAAGCCTGATCTGACCCACAGCCATGTACAGTGTGTACAGGTGTACTCTGAGACTCGTGCTGAAAGGATTTCCACTGACACAACAGGTCTGATATTTGACCCAGCAGGTCAAGTCTGGCCGGTCAAACCATCATGGAAGGACACAGCTGGGATTACTCAGCCGGATTTTAGAGTCTCACTCAGACACAGAGGTACTTTACAACTTAAACAGCTGATCTGAGGCTCCAGGCATGTCTGGGACTCTGTCTGTTGCCTCATTGTTAATCGCATAATTCAACAGATGTGCTTCATAAGGATGTTCAAGTAATCATTTGTTTTAGATTGTTTCTTGTCTTTATGTCACAGATGAATACCAAACGGAGGCTTCTCTCTCTTGTTTTTGCAACACACACCAATTTAAAATCATTAGTAAATATTAGAAATGAAATTATTTACATTCAGCTGTTTCAGGTGTGTGTAGGTCTGGTGCTCACCTCTTTCAGTTTCCTGCCATAGGGGTTGGGACTCATTAACAACAACAACAAAAACCCGAAAAGCATGTTTTGATACAACAAATTATTATAACTTTGTCAGCTGTGATTTTTCACTTTACATTTGTAAAGTGATACATTTAAACTGTACATGGATATCAGTGGATAAGCTTCTTTTTTTAACAGTTATTCCAGCAGCATTTGTTTCGTGTTGATGTGAAGCAGCAAACAGAGAGACAGCTAAGATTAACTGTGACGTCTTCTGATGAGATACACAGGTCATCACATCAGGACCTGTTTGCCAAGAACAGAGATTAAAGCTTTAATTATGTTTGCTGGCCTATGCACAAAGGCGTTCCGCCACTGTGCTGTAATGAAGGGGTTTCTATCATGGCAGCGCTCGATGCTTTACATTCTCAGCAAGTGACGCAAATCATTTGAAGTATCTTTGTTATTCACAAAGATATTGTTTTGTAGATTGTAGAGTTGGACACTGTTCCATCAGTGACGGAAGGAATTGAAGTCATTGTACTGAATGTTCTTAATAGCTTGAGTTTTAAGTCCATCAGGGAAGATTTTAAGGAAGCAATACCAAAGACTTCAGGTGCTCAGTTAAGCTCAGTAACAAGCACCATTTACAAGGTACTTTTTGGTCACGCCTCATCAACTGAGCACACAGATCCTAAAATAGATTAGATGTGTTTTTGCATATAGACTTCCGATTAGTGTTTGGGGACAAGCTGCCAGGTAGGATCAGACCTCCATACATGTGTTATTTCCCCTAAGATTTTAAGTATAAAACAGTTAGTGATGAGTCGTGCGAGACATAATCACAATGACATGTAGAATACATCATTTTATTGAATTACTAAAATAACTATCCTTTGCAAGGAGGTGTATTAAAATAGATAATTAGCTAATGATTGCATGAGTGTTTTAATGAGCTCACTATGGAGCACGCATTTAAAATGAGGCTAAGCTCTTCAGCTGTGGATGAAGGCGCATTTAAAGGACAAAGAATGAGAACACACACACACGCACATGACCAAACATACATATGCAGCAGTTGAAAATAAACAAATTGAACTTTAAATCAATTCCTCCAATTGAAATAGTCATATGAAACCCTCCATAATACCTGTGAACTTTGTCCAACTCAGGGTCACAGAACAAAGTCTCACTTATCCGGCAGACAGCCTTTATAGGCTTCATATGGGTTGTCCAAAGTGGGACCAATGACAAATTTCCTTATTTGATATCCGGCTATGTGCCAAAAAGAGGGTGTAGAGGAAAGGTACTTCACAGCGTGGTCACTGAGTATAGAGTGAGCCTTTAACTGGTGGACATTTTTGTTGGTTTGGGTTGCCCATTGGGAGATCTAAATATAACAAGAGGGTACTAAAGTTGGGGAACTTGCGGGCCAAATATAAGTAGGCCCAGGTGGAGCTTAGACCTAGGAAAATGTGGAGCCACTATAGGTAGCTTACTTGCTTACTTGTCTAAGTCTCATTATCAATTCAAACTGTGGGGAAACTTGTGGGGCCCAATTCTGCTTAATTAGGCCGTCCACATTCAGGCCACACTTTGGGTTGTCCCACGTGTGCTAAACCTGACTCACGTACTGTGGGCCCTGCATTTCATGCCTCTAGCAGGGTCCACAGTATGCTGCTCAAACAGACTTTATTTTCTACCTGTAGTGGATCCAAAAGCGCCCAGAAGAGATTGTTTTTGTTGGAGAGGATGCTGATTTCCAATTTGACTTGGTTATACATAAAAAAATTACACCTTTCCTTTCTACTTTCTGTTTGGCATTAAGTTCACTTGGTTTGAGTTACAGATGTATGTATGTACAAACTCCAAAGAAACATGTTTTGGAGGCAATTGTTTTTTGTTCAATTCATCAAATAATCTTGTAAGTATATAGAGCTTATCCCCGATGGCTAAGATCCTCAATAAAAAAAATACTTAAACCAAGAGGAGATGATAAAAACCCTGGATTTCTGTAAGGTCATTAAACCTCAACAAAGTATTCAGTATTTATTTTAATTTAACCTGATTTCACAGGCACCAGCTCTT